TATATTTTAATGTATTTACGTTTATTCATATTTGCATGAAAAAAATAGGTCTAGTTGTAAATATAAGACATGTAAAAAGGAAATGTTTATTACCTAGTTCTTAAAAAACACTATTATTGAGTACAGAACAAAAGAGAATAGAAAATTCAAAGACAAATAAAAATATAAAATCACGTCTGCTAAAAGCCTTTGCATTCCTTGAAAAAGATTTCTGGCAAGGCAAAATCCTGTGGAATTCATTCCCATTCAGCAAGAAGAGCCATTTCTAACTTTTCTATGTAGTTTAGATGTTGTAGTAATCTTCGGTTAATTTGGTCCCAAATGCGTTCGATAGGGTTCAAATCTGAACTTCGACGTAGCCACACCAAGCACTCAACTCCAACCTCATTCAGGTCGGCATCTACAGTACGTGCTCTATGAGGCCTGGCATTATCCTACATTAGCAAGAATCTCTCACTGATGTGGGGTTCTTCGATTATATCTTGCAAGTACCTGTATCAATCTTCATGGGGCGAACATGGAAATGCCACGCCAGAACATCAATGACGACCCATAATGGAATGCCACCTAAGGAACCATGCAGCTTTGGGCGTACTTTTCTCCTGAGCATCTACTTATGGAATTACGCCCATCTGTAAAGAGAAATTGTCTCCAATCTTCTAATTAACATTTTCCCGTGCAAATTGAAGCCAGGCCATTTTCTGAGAGGTGGTAAGAAGATGTGCACGAGCCTTGCGCCCGGCCCTAAGGTTATTTTCTTTGTGCCTTTTTTATACTGTCCTGGAGGAAATCGAAACATTCGTACTTTTCTAATCATATTTCTTATCTCATCCCATAATGCTGCGGTTTCGGAGAGCCTGATGACAGATGCATCTATCGTCTCTGTCTGTTGACCCTGTCATGGCGATGTAGTTTGCAGCCTTGTTTCGCTAATGCGCCGTTGAACCCTTCCTATCGTACAGTGATTTACACTCAGTCAGTCTATTGTCGACTTTGCTCAGGCAGTATGTAATAATGTTATGACTCCACCACGGCTATACTAACTCACGACTGGAGCCATTGAAAAAGATTTATAAATAAGATCAAATGAAATCAACGATGGAAAAAGGTTAATTGAAAGCGATTTTTAAGCGTAGCAGAATGAAAGGGAATAATGCTACTTTTTGTCCAAATTGGATTAATCAGTACAAAAGTAAATAACGGACGTATACAAAGCGTTATTTATTGTTTATTGTTTATTTTGACTACGATAGCTCCGAATTATTAATAAAGAAAGATAATAGATTTAATTTTAAACTAAATAAATTGAGTAGTGTGCTAAATTGGTCGATCAGTGTACATTCATATTTTTTTTACCAATTACAGTTAAAGTGTTATTTTGAAAAAATAATATATACCAATCTAATAATGTATAGATTTTGTTTAATTCTTTGCCATTTAAATAGACATATAAATCTAAAAAGCATGTTAAATTTTTTTGATTTCCATTCTTTGTTAAATTACTAGATTAGTTTAAATGTTTAATTGAAGTTTTTCAAGAACTCACGAAGAGGATGCAAGCACTCTAGGTGCATAAAGTATCTATTAGAAAAAATTCAGAATTTTCAATTTATTATTATTTTTTCTTAAATGTTTGATTTTTACAATCAAGCACGAAGGAGAGATGTACAATAATCTGTTTTAAATTAAAGATCATAAAATTGCGCTTTATTTAAATCTGAACTGTATTTATAAATGTTTTTACAAAACATTACATTTCCTCGAGTCACTAACGTATTTAAAAAAAGCATTTGAAAATACAGCGACGGGGCGGCGGTGGCCTTCTTAGGCTAGATTCCGTCACTAAATATTTTCTCAAGCCAATAAAACCAAATCTTATGTTTCGTAGGAGTTCGACGAATAATAATTAGTATATACCGTTCATATATAACTGTAAGTTCTTCTTCATTGAATGAACGATTTTAGTCTGTTTTTTTATTTTTGATAATCATAACGTTTGTGTTTGTGATGTTGGACGGGGGAATGGAATCTCTTAGAATTATGCAAATGAGGTCAACAAACCTGTTCATATCGACTTCACTTATAATAAATGTATTTCACATTCGGAATCTGAAATGCATCTAACCTGACCGCTCCTCACTACTTCAACCACTTATTGAACCACCGGTCCAAAACAGCACACATATTATTTTATTAAAAACTTACTTTATGAAACACGATTTAATAATTAATTTTAGGACTAATGAAACGTTTTAAGTGCATTTAAAAATATATAGTAAAAGCTATAGTCATTAATTTTCTCAAATGTAGATCAAAGACAGAAATAAATATGGTGTATGCATACTGGGTGGTTCGCTATGAGGTGCAAAAAAGACTTGGGAGATAGAAGACTGGAGAAACTATTTTCATGATATTTGGGGTAGTTTTTAAAATCTACGTTAAATTGTGTAAAGAATGAGACTTGTACTGAACCCTCTCAGTCCAATTCCCTTTCATTATCACAGATCTATAAAATTTACGCATTGAAAGATCTTTGAAGAATTTCAAAAAGTCACTAGGATGTGGTAAATTTTTCTTAAGTTTCGCAAATTTCATAAAAACTGCGACATTTAATAAATCTTCGAAGTGTATGCTTTGTATGATCGGAATATTCTTTTTTCTAAGATTATGGTAGAAACTCCCTCTAAGAACGTGTATCATGGAAAAAATAGATAACAGCTTGCAGTTTCTTTCTCGCGAAAATATTTGACTATTAGTCCCACTAAAACAACATTTATAATGTAAAATTTGAATGTCCGAAATTAGATGAAATAGTTAACTTTCGTTGTGGCTGAACTTGCTGAAGTAGAGTGACAAGTTTCGTAGTATATGAACTTATATACTTGAGCCGATATTTTTTATTTTGTTTACAAAAAGTTAATATTCACACTAATTTTAATCTGAATATTCAGTTAATCTTATAATATCAGTCTAAAATATTGTAATACTACTATCAAAACAAATTAAATCTTCCTGTTTGCTTAAAACCTTGATTTTCCTAAGACTTTTTTTAGGTTTGATCTGCCATACTCCTCGACAAAACCTCGACTTGTACTGAACAATAATATCATTCCGGAGCTTATTAAATGGCTCAGTTTTTAAAAATTATCCAATATTTTGGAAGTTTTGTCACAGCGAAGCGAATTTTTCATATTCTTCAAAGATCTTATAATGTTTAAATTGTAAAGGTTTGGGCCAGATAAACGGGGACCAGTTTGTCCGAAAGATTAAAATAGATAATTTATTCTGTAGGTTAAAAAAACGACCTCAATTTTGATGAAAAATGCATAGGTAACGGAGATTGTTTTCTGTGACCAGTGCGTTTTTTTCTATAACCTGTTTTTATGCGGCATGCTACTCCATTTACACTTTTCTATCACTCATTTTGTCTTTTGCATCTCGTAGATGTATATCTTTGTAGTTTGTGTTATTATCTGTTGTTTGTTTTCTTTGGTGTATGTTTTAGAATATACAATGGTAGCCCAGATTTATTATTAAAGTTATATTAATTTATTAATAACGATCATAAATCGTTTATAGATATGGATCAGTATAAAAAAAACTTTTTATTACATATACTTTCTATAATATCAGTATAAACACAATTTAAATGATCCAGGAGCCAAATTGTTAAGATAAAGAGAGATTTAGAAGGACAATTTAATAAATTTTTAAATTAGAAATAAATAATCCAAATAAATTATACAACTTTCTTCGACGAGCGTTTCTGTACTGCAATTAGTATGTGAATTTAACTATTGATACCATTAATACAATTATCTTTATATTTTATTTCATATGTGCAAATCAAAAATTTCTTTGAATAATGATTACTCGGTGTATAGGGTTTATTTTGAACTACTGACAGAGGCATGATTATAGAATTATTACGGTTATTGTATTATGTTACATGATCATTGATTAGTTTATGACTTTTTTAACTGATTTATTAAACTAAATACGGTAATTGAAATATTTGTAATCCTTCTGAAAAAAGGAATATCAAATATGGAAACTTGAAAACTTTGATTGACTAGAATTAATGATATCACAGATGATAAAGAATTGACAGGTTTCAAATACCTGTGATACACAAACGAAACACGCCTCGCTATATTTAAATATGCAACGGCATTGCAGTGGCGTATCTATAATTAATTTTATCACTAATATGAACGAACTTCTCAAAATTTTTGTTGTTGTTTGGATTCAAATATGATAATTTACTTGTTTTAAATGTCAGTGATACATAAATGAAACATTTGAAGCATGTTTCAAATAATTAATATCAATAAATACAAAAATTTCTATGGATAATGCAGTACGGATATTGTTGAATTTTTTTTATTTTTTGTAACTAGATTGTTTTTATTCATTAGGTCATATATGATATTTTAAATACATTTAAAACAATAATGTTACCAAGTTCGTCAATAAATTTTAAGTTATTCAACAATTTCACACAACACAAATATGACACCACAGGAGTAGCACCACACTTTGTGACTGAAGATGTCCTGAATAAAGGTCGAAACATCAGCATAAAAATGAAAAATGTGTTCTTCTAAACTACCTCATTCTTGACCTCACAAATCAAACAAATTTTGTTTAAAGTTATTGTTGTATTAGAAGGCTTTTTTTTGTAACGTGTATCTTGCAAATGTAATTTATTCACTTTTTATTCGTAAAATATTGACGGAAAAATAAAAAAATTAATATTAGAAATTTACATGTTTTTAGTATCCGAACTATAATTTGAGTTTTTGATTGAAAAAATATTAGTAAAATTTGTTTGGATCTGTTTGTACGAAGACTGGTTTGTTGGTGTTGGACGCGAGAGATTTTAATGATAGCTTAATTTTCTGATTTGCAAACTAGTTTCTTGTCCCAGTTGAAAAAGTCTACAATTGGAAGATCAGGTGTTTTCCAACTAGTAAGCTATAACTGCAGGATCCACCTACCTGTTCATATTGATATTGGATAGTTCAACAGGTTCCTCGTCTCTGTGGCACTCACTTGTTGGGACACTTGACTGTTCGGGATCCGGGGGCAGACTGGCCAACTGTTCGTCGGTGGGCCGGGGCCAGGAGCGGTTTCAATCCACTTTCTCCGCCCCCTCTCGCTCCCATTTCTGGCGGGGTAGGTCGGCCCTTCCCACCCTCGCCGCCGCCCGTTTGTTTTCATCAGGTTCTGAACACGTTCCATTTGGACGGGACACGCTTTCGAAGGCCGCCCCCGCATGCCAGACTTGAACCTTGTTTCATAATTCAGTACTGGGCAAAATAGCGGATATTTGGGCCAAGGTCTCTTCTCTTGGATTGTTTAGTCCTATATTGGTTTTTCCATACCATTCTGTAATTAGGAATGTAATGAAACGCACGTTCGAGAGATCATGTCTTGCATTCATATCATATCTCTGGATAATTCCAGCTTCACAACTTATTCATAAACGGCCTGACTGCTAGTTAACTTTTATCAAACCTAAAGAATTACAAATCAACAATTGCTGCACGTACTTTAATGATTTATCTATATTGTCGATCTAAATGGTTAATCAACATGAATTCTTCCATAGTTACAAATTTGAAACGTAATATTTGTTCTTTCGGCTATCCAGAATATATTTATTATTTATTTATACAATTATGAACAATGCCTATCTAGTACAAACAATTTTATTTATTATTTATTATATTTTACAAAATAGTCATACTAAACATGTCCTGTGAACTACCTCTTGACCTAAGAAGACAATATTTATGACACAAAACAGTTGTTTAACTTCTGAGCTTGGACAATTTAACGTACAAAAAATAAGTCAATTAAGCACTAAGACATTAACATATAAATTCTCTGAGAGAAACAATTCAAACAATTGTAACAAGCATCTTCCCCATATTAAATCTTCCTCCCCTCATTGTTTGTTCCGATACTTTGTACAATTCTCAATACATTTTCATGCCACATTTTGTGAAAAAAGCCATCATTTCTTAAAGAATGTAAGGATATGGATCCTCCTACAGCCAAAATATAGTTTCTAGCGGAAGTGAAAAACAAATTGCCAGAATATCACACAATTTTTACAGTTAGATCTAAATCGTTGGACAGAACTGAATGTGCCTTTTATGTCCCCATAGTGATTATGAATGTCTTCTTAAATTCCCTCATCGAGCGAGCAAATATACTCCACAGAATTTTGTGCTATATCCAGTGCGATAAGTTACATTAGGTTCCCGTATACTCGGTCGTCCAAAAAAGGGCAATGAGTTTCTTTAACGTCCGCACCTAGCCTATTCGGCCTTATCGGACGTTTTGATTCTCAAGATGAGAGATGACGCACCTCTGCATACGACAGGATGGTGTTACTGCCGCAGCATTGGTATAGAGGCGGCTCAGCCCCGAAGGGCCAAGACAACCTCGCTCCCCGCTTGTCCATTCCGAGTGGTCGGGTCCATCAAACCGTATGCCGCGCGCAAAGGGCTACCTAAGCCGAAATACATCAGCTCGGTCTCCCGCGCACTCCCTAGATAGAGAAGGCGACTCTATCTCCCAGAGTATTGAGGCTTCCCCAGCGTAAAAACTACCGGATCCGCTCCGGCCGCGGTTTCGTTTAAAGTGGAATTTCTAACCACCCCCTAGAGGAGTACCGCTTACGGTAAAAGCCTCCAATCGAGCTCAGCCTACACCTACGTGCAAAGCATACTCGAGTAGTAGCAACCGATTCACTACCCGTTCCCATCCGCCACTACACACGCATCCAGCACAATCATCGCGTCCTCAACGCCTATATGCTGCCGTCCGATCCGCCATATCCCGTGAGGCCGGGCGTATAACGGTGGTCATATGCAAGTTTCGTGCGGAGGTCACAGGTAGAAGACATCTTCTTCTCTAAGTTCCCGCTAGGGGCGTCGCCACGTACCACTACGAATCCATTCCCATTGTAACAGGCGCTGAATTTGGAACATTTCTGTTACCCCATCGTACAGATGGTTATGCATCCTCCCCGTCTATGCATACAGGATCTGGTACCCTAACCCTCGTGTGCCTCTGATAAGGCACCCGCCGCGCTTGACCACCCGAGGCCGACACGAGTACAGCTTGTGCTTTAGAGAGGTTGCCACGCCCTCTGGGCTACACCTTTATTTTGCGCCCGGATACTCCACTTGTTACCAAGGGTTGGGAGGGGTCACAGGATAAATTACATACCAGATTTGCCTTACACGAAATGTGCTATTATAACAGATAGCCAGAGCTCAAGTTTAACATATAACAGTGATTTCGTAAAGACCGCCAAAGCAGCATCGACAATATTATGAAGGCAGAAGATTTCTAGACCGACGATTGAGGAGGCAGAAGAAGATAACGGGGAGGCCTAGAGTGGACCCACGCTTGATCGGAGGTGCTTGGACAGTTACGTTTATGTTAGGAAAAAAAGTGAACGTGTTTAAAGATTGAAAACTATTTGTGTTGGATTGTTCGTCGGTTGGCGCCCGTTAACAAAAAGGGTGTATTTCATCACTGTTTGTATGTTGTGTAGAAGAAAACGATATTTCAAAAACTTTACACTTAGTTACTCAAACTAAATTTGTTTATTTTTAATGTAAAACGTTTTTCCTTGTTCAACGGCTATTATCAATATTTATTATTTAGAAGCTTAATCCACTAACTTTATAAACACTACAAAAATAGTGGAATACAATCCCCCAATAATCAATCATATTATGTATGTAATGTTAACGAAACTATTCTTCCTATTGCATTTCGCAGCCCATCAATAATTACAGCTTTTTGTATAATTTTTAATGAATCGAAGCTTGTTCATTTGAGCCACCAACTCAATCAGTCTTTAAATCCAAACCCACTCACACGCTTACCCTCTCTTAAATACATTCTCTCACACCATACTTGATGGAGTACTCAATTTTCCGTTCAATAGTCTTCTCACATTTCACATTCACGCTTCTAAATACATTCAGACTCAATATATATTTAAAAAAACATAAAACAAGAAATCTATATAGTATTACTTACAGTAAAATAGCACTGTTTACTCTTAAAATTAAAACAGCGGTCCTAGATAGTTGCAGCAGTGCTCAAGCACAGTTCTTATATTGATCATTCTTACACGCTCTTTATATAGAGCCAAGGAATGAAACTCTTCAATTAAGTGGGAAACACTGAGCAACCATTCTCTACTCTCGCCCGCCGGCTGCAGCATATCGGTATGTCTAGCCCCATCAGCACCACCCCAGAAACAGCGACGTCCGGATGATGACGTAAAGCTCGACTTTTCCTATCGGTGAATCGCTTCGGATTATACAAACCTTCAGACACCAGTTTGCAGATATGGTGCAAAAAATGTGAATACGGCTGGCCGGCCAAAGTTACCGTCGGAATAGCGACCGTGCTGCCGTATAACAGCTTTTTCCCCATATCCGCATGGTAAAATTGCGGCGATAGCATGGGATCAGCATGCGGCGGCAGGAAGCCTCGAGTTACTGCACAATATGATAGGCTTACGTGAATATTTTATTTATTTCCATAGAAATATCAATTTTAAGGTATTGTAAATATTGTAACTTTTCCTTACATCCTAATTTGTTTGGGGATTTTATAATTAAACTCACATTCTTTCGTTGTTTGCAAAGGTTTAATTTATGCGTATGAACTGAATATATATAATCGATTTTCGGCATGAGATATACATGTAGTATTAAACTACTAATGTATTCCAAGAAATGCAAAATGTATTTCGGCGTCTTTCATCCGGTGATTATGATTTTATAAGATTTTATCTTTTTCAGTTGCCTCATCGATCCGCCTAAGAGAATTTTCGATAAGCGCCTTGCCAAACATGATATAGGTGTCATGATGATCTCAATGTTATGAATTTACTGGTCGGCCAACATTGAAAGTTACAAACGGGATTATTTTTCTTTATATAATACAGTTAGTGAAATATTGTATAATCGTGAGGGAGTGCGTTAGGCTGTTTTTTAAGTTGTATAACCTTTAATCATTCCATCATTATTTTTCTTCACCCATCGGCAATTCAAATTACCAAAAAATTGTTTGGCTATAAAATCATAATACAAAACCACTACAAAACATACTATTTACTGTGTGAATAAAATGTTTTGTTACGCTCAAATAGGTTAACACCCTTTAGAAATCGCAGGTTGAAGAAATTATATTATCTTAACAAACTTGCAGTACATACTTTCAAAAGGTTACAAATCTGAAAGATTTGAGAAAAAATTATTTTATGAATGTTTTACAGCCAAACACTTCCATACTACTCGTGCTTACTATTATAACGTAAATAAAATTTAAACGAGTGTATAAAGATAATTAAATGTTTTATTATTTATACTTATTCACAAGAAATTGGGAAATGAGCTTTGACCCAAGTTCATTTTTCATCAAAGCCAAACTTAGCCTATAATCCATTTTTTGTCACAGTTGATAGCTGTTTATATAAAAAATAGATCTCGTTAGTGGGCATTTAATCAACATAAATCCCGAAGTTTAATCCAATAATTATAAATGTAGTATAGGTTTCGTAATGTTTTTTCACGCCGGTTTTTAATTACTTATATAATGAGATACACCATTTCGTAGTATATAGGCTTAGTAAAGAGTCCTTCTTATTTTGAAAAAGTTCTTATATACTAAAACACTTGGTCAAAATGTTTTATAGCCTGGGGAAAATATTTGACACAAGATTGTTTACATATTGAGTATTATAGATTATGAATAAATTGTATGTTTTGTAGTGATTTGGTATTTTGACACTTTAGAATTTTCATGACCATTTTTTAATGTTGAGTTTGTGAAGAAGTTTTCGAACAATCACGAACGTAAAACATGGAAGAGAGAGAGAGAGAGAGAGAGAGAGAGAGAGAGAGAGAGTGAGAGAGAGAGGGCGAGAGAGGGGAGAGAGAGAAAGGGTGAGAGAGGAAGTAAGGATAATAGTAGTAGCTTGTAGGACAAGATAGCGAACGAAAAGAAAGAACAAATGAAAAGACAACAAAAAGGTGAAATATTAAGGATGTGCATATAAGCAAATAAAA